AAACAAAAGGGTTGCCATCCGTCTCCACCTCCTGTGCACGATCTCCATCCTTCTCTCTTCTATTCCATCTAATCATCCCTCTTCTTTCCTTCTCACTTTGCACTTCAGCTCCCGTCCTCTCTCCCATCTCTGTCTTCATATTTCATTTTTTTTTCCCCCCCTACCTTCTCTCAGCCCTCTGGAGAGAACATCCCACAGGTTGCTGCTCTTACCTCCTGCGGTGGTGTTGAATGCTAATGTGGCCGGCTGATGCGTGCCACAGTGACCGGAGTGGAGATGGCTCGAGAAGGAGGAGGGAGGCAGGCGGGGAGTAGTAGGGAGAGGGATGAGAAGGATGGGGGGAGAAAGCAGAGGAGCGTAGGACTCTGGGTTTTCACGGTAGGGAGGGGAAGGTGAGGAGCAGAGCGGCTGAGGGGAGGGATGGAGGGATGTGACGTGAGCGAGCGGGAGTATGGAAACTGATCATTGCAGGCAGAGCAGCGTTGGATAATTCTGCTCTGTCTCTGTCTCTCTCTCTCTCTCTCTCTCTCTGCTCAGCGTCCTCGGCGATGCTGCTCTGACCAGACTCCGCCGGAGAAAAACAAACACTAAACCATCCACATACTCATACACTGACATGCAGCGGAGAGGGCTGCTGCTGCTGCTGCCGCCGCCGCCGCTGCTGCTTCGTCTTCTCTCTCTTCCAAACAGATACTCCATTTAATTACAAACACCCACCTTCTGCCTTCCCAGCTGAGAGAAGATCCAGAGGAGGGTTAATGTGAGTGAGGAGCTTCATCTGCAAACATCTGCCTGGAGGACTCCTCCCTCGTCTCTCTCTCGGTGCTTTTGCTCTGCAGCAGGTGAGCAGCATGTTGATGTCTCGTTCATTCATGGTGTTGTGTGTCGCAGTGGCCACTACCTACAAGTCTCGGCGTCAAGTAGTGTCTCGGCTGAGATCTTCTGCCGGCGGGGCGTAATGCGTGGACTTTTATCTCCTCACTGCACCACTGGAGGACGATGAAGCTGATCTGATGACATTTGCCGAGCTGGGTTTTGGTCGTGGAGTGTTTGGTGAGGATGCTCTGCAGTTAGGCAGCATGGGAAAGAGGAGGAGGATGATTACAGAGCAGTGCACAGCAGGAACACATCAGGGCTACATTAGAGATGGTATCACTGTTCTGGAATTAGACTCAGTGGAGATGAGAGATGAATAACAAGAAATCCCACCAGCTCCTTTTATTTATTTATTTATTTATTTATTTGCTGTCTGTGCCAAACATTAAAAACGGTGTTGCGGAGCGTTTCTAGTTGAAGCTCCAGAGGCAGATCAAAGTTTATGCGAGGGAGGCTGATTCCCACGCAGCCAGCGCGTTAACGCAGCAACACTGGTGGCTGCTGCACACCGTGCTGCCTGCTCTGCCTCATCTGTGGCGAGCTACATAATAATAATGATGCTCACTTAATTATTTATGTCGGTTTTGTTTATGCAATCTTTGTGGTTAAAAAAAAAAAAAAAAAGTGGCACAAGCAGGATTCTCTGCACGAACACATGAGCACACGTTAGACACATTTATAGCTCATGACACACACACACACACTGATGTGAATAATTTACACAGAGGCACAGGAACACACACACACACAGAGGCACACACACACACACACACACACAGATCCGTCCTCCACATGAATGAACTTCCACTTGTTGATCCAGGGTTTCAGTTCCCGGTAATTGGGTCAAATGCTTCACTAGTGATGTGGCACAAACACACGCCCACGCAGAGATGCATGCGCGACACCTACACTGCACATTTACATTGCACGAGCAAGAGGGAAAGCAAATCTCAACACCGACACGGCAGCGTTGAGTGAATATGTTTGTGTTGACGTGATAAATGATGCTCGGCTTTTATCAAGTGACTATCCGTCAGGCGTGTTATCCATATGTGCAGATACGGTGGCTCAGGCTGGAGCTTCATTAATCTAGCCTGCAAAACCTGAAACCGATTCATTTGCACACCTCTGTTTCATATGTGTTCAGTGTTGTGCACCATGTCATGCATTTTGTTTGCTATTATGACCTAAATGTTGAGACAGAAACACAAACACAGGCAGCTCTGAATTCACCTCCACTTAGAAATGTGAGCACCTGCCTACAAAAGCCCATTTAGCCTGAACTCCATCATGTTGTCATCATCATAGCAACCAGCCGGGCTGAAGCAGGATCGTTTGAAAAGCAGCAACAACGCAGCTTCTAATGCCCAAATTAGACGTTTTCTTTCAAACAAAGACCCGTCCACTTGTTGCAGATGTTTTCTGACGCCACATTCAAGCTGACGTTAGATGCAGCTTGTTTTATTTCCAGGAAGACGATGCATATCACACGTCTCGTTCATATTTTTCCATATACATTACTAATATAGATATTGTAAGTGTATTCCAAGTTGCCAAAATCAGTGGTAAATGGGATCACGGGTAGTATTTCCATTTTCTAGATGTTGCTATGACGTTTCAGATATCGTGTCATCCAGTTCAGCTCTACTACTGCACTGCCTGGGTTCAGGTTTTCATTTTCAATGGGCCCATTTGTGTCTTTTTAAGAAAAATTAAAGCAATTAAACAAAGAAATAATAAATGCTGTTTACAGTACATAGCTGGACATCAGACTATAGGTTCATTATATTGAACATAGGCCAATAAATGCACAAGAATTGCCACACTTCCTGCAATGTGACCTAAACTTCTCTTTTGGGATTATTTTTCAAATCTCAACCGTTTTTCTGTATTCTACCTTCTGTTAGATTAGACACCCTCTTGAGTGAAAATAATTTTTTGTTTGTCTATTTTGTCTTGTTAACATGTCCATGTGGTGTTTTTTTTAATGCTGGAGTGAAATAATCAGTGAGCTTTGAAGCTGCAGTGTACCAGTCTCCTAAACCTCCTAAACCAGGTGTAACAAACCTGTGAATCAATCCTGTCTTCTCACATTATGGGGTTTTCTGGATCATTCTTGTTCTTCTGAATCAATCTCCAGTTTGAACATATGATGTAATAAATGTTGTAATTTGAGATTATCTAGCATAGAGTAGTTTTACAGTGTGTGAGCAGAGTGGTAGGTGAGCTGGTGTGCTCGGGCTGCAGCAAGGAGAGGAGCGGTAGGTGGAGAGAGAGCAGGAGCCTTTATAGATCTACACATTCTAGAGAGTGCAGTGGTTTACAGCTGCAAGTAAAGCATCATAATACAGGAGAGGATTCTTTTCATGGGGAAAAAAAAATCAAATTTTTACTGTCTGTGGGCTCATTTTACTCTGAAATATAAAGTCTTGGAAATGACACAACCACAGCAAGAAGTAGCAGGAAGTTAAGAGTCAGCGCAATCTTACGAAGTTATAATACCATGAATCATAACAGAACAATTTAAGATTTTTTATTTTTATTTATTTATTTTTAAAGATTTGAAAAACAAACCAAAAAAACAACCTTGAATCAACAACTGCAGTCTTACTCGATAATCCGACCCTTAACAATCCTAAACCTGCTATCCGACAGGTTTTTAGGAAAAACCAACAGAACCCATAAAAACAGCCTTAACATAGCGACAGCCTTGGATTCTGACTCCGACATGACATTTAATGTCACCAATCAGGATGACGGCGTATTATCTGACTGAACAATCCCACAGATTGGCTACGTTCACACTGCAGGACTTGATGCTCAATGAGGATTTCTTTGTGACTTCCTTCACGTTTCCAGTTCAATGCGACTTGTATGTGATCTGCTGTGTGAACTTCATACGAGCCAAAAGTGTCCCGCATGCGCAGAAGAGGACACGACGACGTCACACGCAGCGAGCGTGCTCAGTGTTTATGGAAGTAAACATGGATGGTAACGGTGGAGCGTATCTGCCACTCCCCCACCGCCACCGATGGAGGAAACAGAAGTGTGAGCGCTAACTAAACTAGCATCAGCAGCCAAGTACTGCCTGTGTGTTCTGGACACTTCCACCCCGTCAGAGCGCTGCCCCGGGGTGGAAGTGTCCCCCGACTGCTCCGTATATTCAGATATTCATCATTAATCGGGCCTGAATATCCAGAGAGCTATTGGGACCAGCCCTACTAGTTATTATAACAACTATGAACAATAATGAACAACTAATGAGCCTTCCAGCATCAAGCCCTCCTCGTATCTGGACCTCCGTCTTGACAATCCGACAGCCTTGCTATCCGACATAAAAGAAGGTTTTACATTTAGTGCCAGATTATCGAGTCACCACTGTAGTTATTTTATTATTTACATTTTTTATCCTCTACAAACAGGCTGATTTTCACACTATGTACATAACATTTAGAACAATATTTCACCATGCTGGATGTACCATTTTTCCTGCATCTATTTTATTGGTCAATTGTGTTTTATTAAACTGTCATTTTATCTCATTTGTTTTTTTACTTATTACACTTTCTGGATCTGACAAACGGTGTGATGTTGGTGGTAACACACCTTCCAAATTGTGTATTCAGGGATTTAGAGAGTTTGTGAGCAACTGGAGGGGGAGTTTGAATTCTTTCTCCTGCACTGGCTGATAAATGCGAGCGCTGGTGTTTGAGAAGTCCTCGTATCAGCATTCGATCAACAGACAAAGGGACATTTTGAGATGACAGCTGCAGAAGGAGGAGCAGGCAGGCAGAGAAAAACATGTCAACAATCGTCGTCTTACAGGCACAGAGACTAAATGAAATATCCATGTCTGACTTTTCTTTATTTCTCTATAACGTGCCACCAATTATTTGCTTTAGTTGCCTCCTTTAATTACACACAACAAGCATCACTAGCTGGGAGCCACACGGTCGGTGCGTCTACCCTGCTTTGCCAATATCCAAAAACCAGAGATGTCTGCGGTGGTTAATGGGACTGATGTGATCTGATGTCTGCTGTTGTTTTTTCCAGCGTGAGACGTCCCGCTGTGCTGCTGCCGCCCGGGGAATGCTCGGTGGACACTGAGACGAGGCCCGACCACAATGAGCAACCAGGACAAATGGGTCACTCTGACCCCGGCTGAGTTCGCCTTGTTGCAGGAATACACCCAGTGTGAGTAGAGCCGGCGCTACTCTCAGTCTGACTGCGCCGCCGCCGCTGCTACCTTTCATTAACGCTAACAGGTGACATATTACAGCCTCAGGCAGCCGCGGAGGCGCCTATAGGTGCTGCCAACAGCTCAGCTAAAAACTGGTAACTGGCTTAACAAGGTGACAAAATGTGTGCGTCAGGTAAAGTCTGTGCTCATTATAATGCATGTGGGTGTCAAGCAAAAACAAGCAACATGAATTAATGCATCACAAAATAACAACGTGACACAGTAAACATAATAAGGGCAAACCTCAGAGTGTGTAGCCAGTTTGTAAAGGTGCATTTTAACCTGGGATTTAAAGCTGGAGAGAGATTGTCGAGAACCTCGAGAGGCACAGGACAGACTGACCGAAAGCTCTTGACCCCACAGCAGCCGAGCGTGCAGAAGGTGTGAGCGAGTCGAGGGTTTGAAAGCGCGACAGGGCGCGCAGGTACGAAGCAGCTCGGAGCGGCATAATGGCGTCGGGTTATGAAGGGCTTCGGAGGCGAGAAGCAGATTCTTGAGATCGATGTGATATTTAACAGGGAGCCGGCGGAGCTGCTGGAGAACAGAGGTGATGTGTTCTACGGAGGAGGTTCTGGTAATGATGCAGGCAGCTGAATCCTGGACCAGCTGGAGTGCATGAAGGCACTTGAGGGGAAGACCAAAGGGAGGAGAGCTGCAGTGGGATGTAATCAGGGTGTGTGTGAGGTCGAAGAATGGAACGGAGCATTTCTGATGTACGTATGATTTTTTAAAAGCGACACGCTGAGGCCACAGAGGAACCTTCAGAGCAAGAATTCAAGGCCTGGCTCACAGTTAACGGACACACAGTCTGTCTTAAATCTAGAATAACTCCACTTTGCCAAAAAGTTCTGACTTCTGACTATGTTGGCATCGAACACATGATGTTATCTCATGTCTCTGTCCGTGTCCACCTTCACTGTGTTCCTTCATGGATCGCTTGGCTTTAACAAGATGATTCTTATCATCCAAATTCATGTTAAACTTTCTGACCGGTTATGTGATGTGAGTGGTGCAGTGTTGGCAGATGTGGGGATACATTCAACAGTTTTTGGAGAAAGATTTGCAGGACTTGGCGTGCCACAAGACTTTCCTTACACCTGCGTGGAGGTGAACATGTGTGGGATGCTATTACAGGACAGCTGCTTTATTATACTGTCTTTTATATGCGTTCTGTGTCTGCATCCCGACACAAACTGAGCAAACCAACCAGCTTGTGTGATGCACAGAACCTCACGCAGCAGAATTATGCTTCTATGAAGATAAAGCTGCACAGATGGGATGCTGCGGGTAACTCTGCTGAACTGCACGATATATCGTTGAGATTTAGAATGCATGCGTCGTGGTTCAGGCTGTAAGGTGGCTCGGTGGTTAGCACCGTCGCCTCGCAGCAAGAAGGTCGCCGGTTCAGCCCAGAGGGGAGCCAGTGGAGGGGGTGAGGATATCAGAGAGGTCACTGTTGATCCGGACTTGCTGTGTTCTGTTAGTGAGAAAGTCCGAGATCCAGAGCATGAGCTGACTGCACATGTTGACGTTCTGGTGGAGTCTCTCTGCCAGGATGTATTAAAGGAGAAGTCTGCAAACAGGAGCCTGGCAGATGTGTTGGGAAGCTCTCGGTGTTTATGGATGATGTCGATGATGAAGGCTTTGGCATCATCAGCACCTCTGTGTCCTTGGTATGCAAACTGGAGTGGGTCGAGCTGTGACTCGGTCAGGGTGAGGATGTGTTGTTTAACCAGCCTCTCCGTGGGTTTCATCACCTGGGAGGAGAGCACCACTGGGCGGAGGTCATTCAGGGTCATGGGGGGGCTCCTCTTGGGGACTGGGATGATAGTTTCCACCACTTGGGAACAATTGTGATGGAAATCTGGAACAGGTTCTGGAAAACACTTCCTAACCGGTCGGCACAGTGTCTGAGGACCCGGCCACTGATGTTATCCACACCAGGTGCGCTGTGATAGACTGGTTACCTGTCCAGGTGAACCTGCCTGAGTCAGCTGGGATGGACTCCAGCCCCCCATGACCCCAGTGAGGATTAAGGTGTAGAGATGATGGATGGATGGATGGAAACCAAATGGACATTGTGGTTCCTTCTGTTAGTCGCTGGGACCCACAGTTACCCATAATCCCCGTCTCCATGATGGTCATTTGACATGAAGACCTGCATAGTTTCACGTGTATCTTCAGCGACACATAATTCTGCTGTTGGAACATAACCATGTTCTTGCATGAGGCCTCGTCTTTGCACATCACTGAATGCATTTGCATCAGAGAGTTACTCTTTGTTTTCATTTACTGCTGAATGCAAACCTATCTGGTCGTGATCTTTAAACGGATCTAGGAGTGAAAATTGTGAAAGAGAAGAAAATCGTCATCGACTTCTCACCAGAAATCTGTTTGTAGGATAAAAGAAACACTCTGGATTATTATACGTATGCTTCCTTTTCTTCCATCCTCTACGGGAGCTCCCGTCGTCCTTGTACCATTTGCTTATCGTATTGTGCTTCTCTGCTAAAAATTCCACAGATTCCTCATAACCTCTCTATCGGTGGCTTTTTATATATATGCATGCCCTTGGATGCTTTTTTTTATCGCTCTGCACTAGGATTTATCACTGGTGATAATTATAAAGCTCATCAGTGTGAGCTGTGCGCCGGGTCGGCTCGTCCTCCCTCTAAAGCGTGCCAGACGCTGGGTTTTATTTATGCATGAGGCTCTTACTGGTGTTTCACCCCTTTACGTTACTTCACTGCTAAACGCAGGCCCTTATTGAACTCGCTCAAATAATTGGATTACGTTGCAAGTCCCGGCTGCTTTTGCTGAACTTGGGAAATCCAGTTTTACTGACGGTGCACCTGCAACCTGGAGAAACCCACGGAGGAGTTTACAGTTTGACTCGTTATTATTCTTGTGGTAAATCACGTTTTTATTCCTGTATTAGCTGATTCACCGTTTTAATTGCTCTGTTTAGTCTTAGCCAATTTGCTCCTTTAGTGTTTTTAATGTTCTTTCATTTGTAAGCCTACATCTTGGGTTTATTTGAGTCTTTGATCAGCTCTGCCTCACTGCAGCTCATTTTGTCAACTATCCCAGTTTGAGCCAATAAATGGCACGACTCAGTTCTTTTTAAAGTACTACCCCCAATATTTTGGTACTAATTAGTCTCTTGCAGGGAGTTTTACAAGAAGACTGGAACTCATTTAATTTCTGTTTATCAGGCGCAGACTGGAAACTAAAAGAAACCCAGGAATTTGCTGCCCAGCGCTTCCAGTTTGATGAACATAATTTGAACTGACAACAGTTGTTGATCAACGATTTGCAAAAAATCCTAATTTACGAACCTTCCTGATGTTTGTGTACAGAAATCAAAAAGTCAAGCTAATTAAAATTAACATCTAGTCCCTAATTTAAACTAAAGGCTTTTGTTTATCATCAGAATTACTTAAAATAATGCAAATTACCCTCGAATCAACTATACACCTCTTGAATAAAGTCCAACCTGATCTAATTTAGGTCTGCAGGTGGAGCGGTGGTTAGCACCGTCGCCTCGCAGCTAGAAGGTCGCCGGTTCGCGTCCCGGTGAGGACACCCGGGATCTTTCTGCGTGGAGTCTCCATGTTCTCCCCGTGCAGCGTGGGTTCTCTCCGGGTTCTCTGGCTTCCTCCCACAGTCCATGCTGAGGTTAATTGGTGATTGTAAATTGTCCGTAGGTGTGAATGTGAGTGTGCTTGGTTGTCTGTCTCTAAGTGTAGCCCTGTGATAGACTGGTTACCTGTCCAGGTGAACCTGATGGATGTATGGATGATCTAATTTACTTCACAGTCACACATTGACATTCAACAGTTCACCCTGAAATGGATCTGTCCCTGCTTCTGCTTCTTTTCTTTTTCTTGTTCCACTTTTTTTTTTACACATTTACTTAAAGTTGGACTATTTTCGAAACATGAATTTAAACTTGTCGAAGCATTTGTGCTCAGAATCTGAATCGTTAAAACCTGGAAATTGGTCAAACCTGCAGCAGGAGTCTATCTTTGAATCCCCAACGGTAAAAAAAGCGTTTAGATATTTGACAGCAGAGAGCCGCTACCTGCTCGGTCCTCACTGATGCTTCACCTGCAGGCTGCTGCTGAACTCTGTTATATCTTGGCGCTCTTTCTCCTTTTGCGTGACACTTTCTCTGCACCGTCGATCGTAGGTTTTTCTTTCTATCTGTGCTTCGCTAACGAGTTCTGATGCACTTAATGAGTGCTGCATACATTCAGTTGTGATGGCAACCGCCACCGTCTGTTATGGATTTCAGCGGCCGTGTTGTGGCAGCTCAGATGACCTATAGGCTATGTGTGTATCGGCATATAGGCTGTTAGCGCTCAGGGAAACAAAGATCAGTCATAACAAGACCCAAACTCCAAGAAGGCCAGTTCACGTCTTCTGTGCATTCGCCTGGAGGTGCACCACATGTTTAAACCACCTTTGGATAACTCATATTCAGGTAAATGTAAACATGCATACTCACTTTCTCTAATTAGCAACAGGTAGATAAGGCTGTGCACGTTTCCTTTAACAAACCCGGATGATTTGTGGATATGTCTTGTTTGCAGTAACACATCCTCACCTGATCTCTCCACGTAACACACAGACAACATTTACTATCAGTCCTTTAACTGCTGCTAAGAGGAACGAAGGTTAAAGTATTTCTCTCCTCATTATCTGTTTCGTCTGTGTTCTCTCCTCCGGTTCGCCCTCAGATGTTTGAGTATTTTCGACTCGAGGCAAATTTTTCACTTCACCCCTCCGAGTCGCTGGAAAGTTGGCATGAGTCAGATTTCTGCTTTCATGCCTTCAGTAATCCTCCTCATAGATGGAAACAAAACATTCAGCGAGGTCCCTGCGCGCCGCACGCAAACACCGATTCTCTCAGATAGCATCAAACCGCCAAAGTAACAATAACACGAGCGGC